GTTCATCGTAGAATGAGTCATCCAAATACGTTTGTTAGTCTTTTGATTGTTCTCTAAGGATTTCAATTTGAAGTTAGATGACGAACTGTGACAGTATTTCGGGGAATCATTGAAAACTACGAACTACTACATAGCTGTTTGATCCCGGTTCGTGACTAACTCTTCAGCAGTACGCAGTCATGATGTCATCGAATGCTCGAGTGCAACACCTTCTAGTTACGAGGCGAGCTCGTTTTCTATTTAGGCGCTCTAGGGGAATTCGATGGTTCATCAATTCTAATTCCTACCTATCTATCCACAGTATATGTCGTCTTCGTATCCATCCATGCAAACTTGTTGTCAAAAGACATTATATCCACTGCCTAAATCATACCGCTGCAGAAAGACAACCACGGTCATCATTTCGACTGGGACAACCAGCTTTCAAATATTAAACAGAGGAAACACCAAGAATGCTAGAAAATTTTTCTAGAAGTCTAGTATTCCAGTGAATCATCAATCAATAGACATATTGACTTGAAAAAAATTTACCAGTCGATAAGAAGGAAATCTCATACACAAAAGGTCAAACTTCAGGTTAAAGAAAAAACAATCAGTACTAATAAAAGTAGACTAGAGGGTGTGAAAACACACAAAAACAACCAATCACGTTCAAGGCCACCGACCAGGAGTGATGACTAATAAACTCGTGGAGAAATCTAAGAGCCCACTTCAATTCAAGTTGAAATATGTGCTGAAGATGTTGCCTAGGAAGTAGGGGCGATGAAAGCTTCGCAAACTAACTATCCAGCCAGCTCAGAGAACACAATTACATCAAAATCATCCACCTGATCTACAATTCTTCTCCATTATAGGTATAGCACCGTATACAGCCACTGTCATTGGGTGAGTTTTCGTTGGCTTTCGTCAACTAACACTACCTCTGGTGTAGGCGTGACATCCGAGTATGAACCAAGGGACGTATGTACTGCTCACCAGTTCGCTCCGTCCTTCTCTATGGCTCTGAAACATGGCCAATACGAGTTGAAGACATGAAAAGGTTGACTGTTTTTGATCATAGATGTCTAAGATCTCTTTCTCACATTAGGTGGTATAATAAGGTAGGTAATGTTGACGTTAGGCGTAGAGTGTTGGGCAGGCAAAGAGGGAAAATCAATCGACGAAGCAATAAACTTACATAGATTGAGATGGCTAGGTCACGTGGTGCTCACGCCTAACCATCGCCTCCCCCGACGGGCATTGCTAGCTGATATAGGTGCAGGATGGAAAAGAGCCAGTGGTGGCCAAACAAAATGACGGCCTCATCAATCCATGAAATCCTTGACAGTTAAACTGAGTCAGGTAGGTAGGGAGATGCAGACTTCCGGATTGGGGCCCTCGGGACTCTAGGAATCAATGGCTGGAGACAATAGGTGACATGGCTCAAAATCGTTGTCAATGGCAGGGCAGATGTATTCAGTCTCTGTAATCTTTCATATTTCTTTTTACCATTACTCATTCTGTTTCACTCTTATATTTGTCAAACTCTATTAATTCTCTTCACTCATCTTCTTGTCTACCTTTGTGTGCTATTTGGAACGTGGCAACTCGAACTGGTGCACTTCGGTGCCAAGTTCTATGTTGAATCCAGACAGACAGACAGAATTTTCGTTCGTCTCAGTCGATATGGTGGACCCTACTAGTCACAACTTCTCGCTTGAAATCTGGGGACTTCTAAATTTGACCAATGTGCAATAAAAGAATTTAGGTAGCAGGTGGTACCTCTTCAGCTGATTAACAAGTCTATTTCTATATGTTAGATTTTTTCCACTGTTTTATCTTCTTGATTGGTTGATTGAATGATTTCTAACGGTGACATCATTATTTAAAATACATTTAGCGAAGAAACTTTTCAAGGAATTTATCACCAAGCTGTACAATCGTATATATATATGTTTTTTTTAATTATATCCGGTGAGGGAATTGAATCTTAGATGTGAATGCGTAAAATAATAATAATATGAAATGTAATTAAAATTAAAATATTTGTGATTATAATCATAGTTGAATGTTAAGGGCAAAGCAAATTAATGACATATACATAGAATAATTCATAGCATGTATAGAACTTGCCTCCAAAGCCTCAGGATGGTCGGGGGTGGGTGCCTTGCGCTGCGGGTTGGCCGTCCCTCCGTACACCTCTTGAAATGCTCCCATATGACCGGGCGTCTTACATAGCCTCTCCTGAGGAAGTCCTACTCACTGCCTCCACGTGGCGGAGGTGTTTCTCACTAAAGTGAGAGGGCAAAAGCGGATGCCCGGCGCTCTTCACCGTGTTGACTGTCCATTGGATGACATTGGATGTCTAGGGGAGATGGCTAAACCCTGATTCCAAACCTCCAACGACTGGCGTATGAAGCTCACCGCCCGAGGTATGGACAAAAGGCTTATTGGATGCCCTGGATGTCTGGCCCCATTCAAAACGGCGTATGAACCGGACTCCGGTCACCGGATGCTGACAATGAATAGTGGACTCCCTACTCCACTCCTACTGCCTTGTAGGTCACACTTGGTTGTGTAAAGACTAGAGCTGCACTCTCAAACAAAAGGCCGAGCGATTCTGGGGACATCACTCGTACCTAATTCCCATGAAATTTCATGAACTCTCTTACAAACAACTTTCGCCGCGCCTGGGCAGCGATGACTCGAGATGTTCATGAAGCCGGCTCATCCTCCCGTAGGAGATAGCCGAAGTAAAGTAAAGTAAGTATGTATACAACTTGATAGATGGGGGTGTACAATTATAAGATCAGTAGGCAAATCGAATAAGAATAAAGACGTTACGTAATATTGTGTGAAATTTAATAGCATAGAATTTAATGTTGTAAAAAAGAATTGATTTAGAATGACAAGTGAAATAATACCGAGGACAGTTCAAAATGAGAATAGTAACAATTGACGTTGTAATAAAGGAAGAGAATACAAATTGAATAGACAAAATGAAAAAAATGAAAAATTGGTAGAGCCAAAATACGATTGGGGGATTACCATACTTTGGCATAGAGGAGGCGATTAAGACGATGAAATGGGAGTTGTGGAGGGGTTGAACGAACCTCTTTATCTGTACACAGGGATCTGACTTTTCAGTCTCGATAGCCAAAGATGGCTACAGCAATACAACAGATGAGTCGAGTACGTAGGGATTTGGGTAAATTACTCTTTGCCTTGAAGATGACTTTAAAGGCGGAGGCTGTAGATAGAGATAGAATTATCATTATCAACGAGATGTTCAATGATCGCGCTTCTTATCGGTCCATTTCCACCTCTTCGTAATAACAGTGCAGGATAGTGTTTTCCTGCTCCCTCTATGGTTATAATCACAAACATTTTAGTTTTTATAATTGCATTTCATACTACTACTATTATTATTATTTTATGCATTCACACCTGTGATTCAATTCCCTCACCGGATATAATTTCTGAAAAGGCCATATATATATATATATATATATATACGATTCTACAGCTTGATGATAAATTTGTTCGCGAAAAATACCCATTAAGACATTGAAATAAGAACAAATTAGTTCAGCGAAGAGTCTCTTTTCGGCGAATTCATTCTCTTAGCTGTACAGTCGCAAATATATACAATTAATTTTGTGTGTGTATGTGCTTACATAAGGTTTGTCAAAATCAAAATAACAGTTAGTGTGGGTTGTTGATTACATCATCAAAATAATAAAGAAATTAAATTGTGTGAATAGTAATCAAAGTTGTAACTAAGTGGGATGGGGATTGGTAAGATGTGAGTAGGGTTACGTCATCAAAATAATATAGAAATTAAAATGTGTGATTAATAATCAAAGTTGTAACTAAGTGGGTGAAAATTGGTAAGATGTGAGTAGGGTTACGTAATATATGTACCCTTCAAAGGTGACCTTCTGGCTGACACCTTGAAGAAGAGGATATCCTACTCTAAGAAGGACATTCTTCGCTGCCACACTGCGACTGACATTTTCCTCCCGGCCATTGTTCTTTAACTACTCTAAAGATAAACTATCGCATTTGACCACTTCCATGTGTATCTACCAATTCACCTGCTCTTGCGGAGCGAGGTATGTAGGTCGTTCGATGCGAGTTTTATCTAAAAGAGTTCAAGAACACTATCCCGCCTGGCTACGGAAAGGTAACAATGGAGCAATAAGGAGCGCGATTATTGAGCATATACTCAACACTGGTCATTCGATTTGCAAGGAGAAGTCATTCAAAGTCATCTATAAAGTCAAAAGAAGCCTTCCAAAATCGACAAGCTTCCGTATACTTTGTATTGCCGAAGCCTTAGCGATTTGGATAGAAAAGCCTGAATTATGCACACAGAAGAAACTTCTCCACCCCCTCCTACTACCGTCGGTTTAATTTCAAGTTCATCTGTCATCAACATTTTGTTATCAAATTTTTTTGCAATATTCGTACAATAATTTTTAGTAACTAACCCATTCAATCTTTTCACCTATTATCTAGTTTATTTTCATAATTGTCTCCATACACCTTCACGAACATCTAATCTTTCTAAACATGTCTATATTACGTAACCCTACTCACATCTTACCAATTTTCACCCCACTTAGTTACAACTTTGATTATTAATCACACATTTTAATTTCTATATTATTTTGATGACGTAACCCTACTCACATCTTACCAATCCCCATCCCACTTAGTTACAACTTTGATTACTATTCACACAATTTAATTTCTTTATTATTTTGATGATGTAATCAACAACCCACACTAACTGTTAAAAAAATTTTGATTTTGACAAACCTTATGCACACACACACAAAATTAATTGTATATATTTGCGACTGTACAGCTAAGAGGATAAATTTGTTGTTGAAAAGGGTCTCTTCGCTGAATCACCACTTGTTTTGAAAATTTACTTATATCTTACAATGAGAATTTTCCATGAGTCATTTAATAAATACCTCATCTATTACGATATTATCTTTATTTTTTCACAGAACCACCAGGTGAACAAGTGTTTCTTGTCGCTGCACCAATGTTAGAGAATAAGCTGTTCAGTTACAGAGGTGAGAATTATTTATTTATTTTTTTGATTGGACATTAGTTAATAACTAGTGTTCATGTGTGTGTGTGTCTACTCTTTGCTTTTTGCTTGGCGCAGACTGAATTCTCACATCAAGTCAGGTGTGCAGTGTGGCCACTATGCATGCCACTAGGTGGCTTACCATCATGGTGGTGCACTTTGAATTTTTGATTTTAGATCGTTGGAGGCATTCGGTCACTGGAAGGCCTTGACTAGACCTAGATGTCGTGCCTAGTAGGTAGCACGTCTGCAGCACTGGGTGACACGGGTTCAAATCTCAGACGAGGGGAGAGACATGATTTCCTTCAAGGTTGCTGATACGCCTTGCTGACTGACTGACTTACTGGTGAGTGCCGACTACCAGCACGAAACCTAGGTCAGTGTCAATCGAGGCTTCCTGTGGCCGATCGCCTCCAGCCATCTAATATGAAAAACTCAATGAGTGAGAATTTCTTCATTGAATATGGCTTTGTATTATTCTTGGCAAATAGTATAACTATTATTGTAACGGTGCGTCGGTGGCATAGCGGTTAGGACGCTCGCCGACCGTGCACATGGTCCGGGGTTCGATTCCCGGCCACCAACGCACTCCTTTACCTCGCTAAGCTAGAAATAATGCTAGTAAAGAGAAAAGGTTGGGCATGAGGCTAGCAACCCCATCCGGTAAAATAAACACTGCTGCAGAAACTTCAAGCCACTAGCAGCTTGAAGCCCTATGTTCCACTGGGAACGTGAAGGAAAAGAATTTCTTTAATTAAATTATTTTAACGACAGAAGATAAGGCCCAGGCAACAGATCGTTTATTGAGAAAATCAACAGATATTTAGAGAATTTTACGTACATTATTGTTAGCGGAGAAGTAACCTCTTCTGATTGGTTGTTTTCTTGCTGACGGTTCTTCTGTTATCCCTTTGTGACCGTTTCTCAGAAAATCAAGCCATATATCTATGAGTCATATTTTCACACGTTAACTCCATTGTGATTGGCTGGTGGTTTTCTCAAGGTTAAGCACTGTTATTGTCTGTTGTTGTCATGACCCCGATTCGGGACGTGAACATAGACGTAAATTGTTGTCTGCAGTTTTTGTCTCTCACCATATTACTATTATTATTATTATTGTTTTAAGGAACAATCATGGTACAATATTATGTGTGTAAAACTTGGACACTTCAATTTTCATTAATAATGGGTAGCACAGTGATTAGGACTCTCACCGACCATGCACATGATCCGAAGTTCGATCCTGTTCCGACGCACACCTGATATAGACACAGGTCCTCCGTCCCTAACTGAGGTTACTTAAGCTGTCACCAATCTGAAACTAGGTAAAGCAGCGGGAATGACTCCTACGGTGGAGACAGTTTACTGTCTGCATTAACTGAGGTATTAGACAGCGTCTGGAAATCGGAGGAAGTCCCATCGGGTTGGTGTAAGTCACTGATTATCCCGATATACAAGAAGGGAGACAAGTCTCCCTGTGATAATCACAGAGGGATTAGCTTGACTACTATAGTATCTAAAGTCTTAGGCTCAATAATCATGCGTAGACTGATTGGTGCTCGGGAGGCACAAACACGAGAGAGCCAGGCAGGCTTTAGACCAGGAAGAGGGTGTATTGATCATATCTTCACCCTCCGACAGATTCTAGAACATAGGAATTCCTACCGGCGTCCAACAATCATTATATTTCTTGACCTAAAGGCGTCATTCGATTCTGTCGACCGAGGGGTACTCTGGAGATGCTTGGCTGTAAAGGGAATTCCAAGAAAATATATTGCACTGATTAAGGCACTCTATTCGTACTCATACAGCCAGGTGAGGACTTACGGCGAGTTGTCATCTGAACTGGTGACGACAAGTGGTGTCCGTCAGGGATGCCCATTATCTCCTTTTCTATTCAACTTCATCATAGATGTGTTAATGGACTTAACCCTAAGTGACTTGAGCGACTCAGGGATTGACTTGCTACTAGGGAATAAAGTCTCGTTGACTTAGAATATGCAGACGATATAGTCCTCCTAGGCGACGACTCTGACAAAATGCAGAGTCTTCTAAACACCTTGACCTGCAATCTACGAATGTTTGGCATTCGATTCGCTCCCGCCAAATGCAAGATGATGTTGCAGGACTGGACTACATCGACGCCTAGTTTAAAAATAGGGAGTGAAGTGGTTGGTGGAGCACGTTGACCGCTTCACTTATTTGGGAAGTGCCATGAGCCAGTGCCAACGGGCTGATCTCTGACGAAATCTCAGCACGGATACAGGGGGCTCGTTTCGCATTTGCCAGTTTACGCCGACTCTGGCGTAGACGAGATGTTCGACTATCGACCAAAGGGCGTGTGTACTGCTCATCAGTCCGCTCCATCCTCCTGTATGACTGCTGTGAGTGAGAACTGGCCACTCAGAGTGAAAGACATGAAAAGACTAGCTGTGTTTGATCATAGGTGCCTGCGCTCTATTTCCCGTGTAAAGTGGCATAATAAGGTGAGCAACATTGAGGTTAGGCGTCGAGTTCTAGGTAAACAGGGGAAATCAATTGACGAAGTCGTGAAGTTACAAAGACTGAGATGGTTAGGACATGTGTTACGTATGCCTAGCAGTCATCGCCGTCCTCGACAAGTAATGTTAGCGGATATAGGGTCAGGCTGGAAGAAGGCTACTGTCGATCAAACAAAAACTTGGCTTCACCAGTCAATGAAATCCGCAACAGTTGGTCTAAGCCACGTAGGAAGGAGTATCCTTCTTGGCTGGTTGGGGTCCTCGGGACGGTAAAAATCTATGGTTGGAAAGAATTGGTGACATGACTCAAAATCGTTCTCAGTGGCTAGCGCAGATGCATCCACTCCTTGTGACTTATGATCTCCAATGAAACTGTTTTGTTCTTCGTTAATACTCCTCCTTTGTCTCACACCTCTGCTTACTGTCTCTATTATGCCTTTCTTGTACTTTCTTCTCTTGCTTTGTGTGGTACAGGGAGTGTGGCGACTTGAACTGGTGCACATTTGTGCAAAGTTCTATGTCGAAAACAGACAGACACCTGATTTCTATGGTCGGCCTGCAAAAATTTGGGCTACTGATATCACATGCTGAAAATTCCATACTTGTACCAGAAATGCTGCGTGGTTTCAAGCATAATTCCGTTGATGTTCGTTTCCTTTTTATCCCAGGAATCATTAGATCAATTAGATCACTCGACATCATCATTGCTTATGCATACATCCTCTTCAAATAGATCCATACATTGTTTGTTTGTCCTCATTCCTGAAGTGTGTTTTGTTCACGATGTTGTATAATAGCAGCAACCTGTGTAATTTTTACTACTTGATGGCATGCTGATCTTTCCATCTAGATTGAATCCTACGCCTACCGTCCATAGCTTGTTATTGAAGCTTTTTCTTCCATCCCTAGCATTTCAAGCTGAATCATAGGGCTTCGAAATTTTAAATCTTTCAATATTCCCATTTATAATATTAGAACAAGACATATAATAAGCGAACAATATTGCTGTTTTCAATTAGATCTTCTTCAGGCTTTACTCTAATTTACATCGACTTATATATAAAATTTTTTAACCAATGACGGAGATTTTGTGAATCAAATAATAATAGTAATCATAATAATAATAATCATAATAATAATAATGTAGTAAATGTTTTGAAGGAAGTTAATAACGATGATTATAATAAAAAAAAAATATTGTTAATAAGGCTTATATAGGTGATAGGAATAACAAAGTTAGTATGTGTGTATATGTAGACAATTCAATAAATAAATAAATTAGGTCAAATCAAATGGAACGATAATCAGAGTTTAAATAACTAAATATCATAAAAGTACGAAGGAGAGGGATGATAAGAAAGGATGGGAGGGTTTTGATTAGAATTCACCTAGGCCAGGTAAGGGAGAGATAAAGGTAGAATAAACTTCTTTTGTTGTATGCAAAGACTAGGATTATTCTTTCGAATTCCCATAGCTACGGCTATGTGTAAAAGACGGATTCGAATTCTGGACGAAAGGCTCGATGGAATGCGATAAATAACTTTGAAGGCACTATTTTTGTCCACTTGGTGACCACTATCAATCAAATGAGCCAAAATAGAACTTCGTATGGACTTTATTTGACCTTTTCCGAACACTGAAGGAAGATGCTCATTAATGCGTTTGTTAAGCTGTCTATTTGTTCGCCTAATGTAGCTCTCTTCACAAGAGCAACTAAATTTGTAGATACACATAGAAGTGTCACAGCTAGGCAGCTAGCTTGTTTTTCGCTTGAGCAGTCATAATTTGTCGGCTGGAAAATGACAAACAGAGGGTGGCGGCAGTATAAGTCCGTTTGATTTTGTGGATCAAATAATGATAATAATAATAATAATAATGTGGTAAATGTTTTTAAACTGCGGTAATAACGATGATTAAAATGATAACAAAATATTGATAATAAGGTTTATGCAGGTGGTGATAAGAATAATAAAGTTAGTAATATATATATGTGTGTGTGTATATGTAGACAGTTCAATAATTCAATTCTTTCTTGCTAAGGTTGAAAATGGTCCATTGAAAAAAGTAATAGAAAAAGCTGATTCTTATTTTCGTTATGTTGATGATACGTTTATTATTCTTGATGTGAAAGCTGACAAGAATGAAGTGTTAATCAAATTCAACGATGCACATCCATCGCTCATCTTCACTTGTGAAGAAGAACATGATTGTAGACTACATTTCCTTGACTTCCAGTTGGGTAAAAGAGAGGATGGTTCACTCAAGAGAGATGTCTATAGAAAACCTACATCTGTAGGACAATATACACATTTCCTTCGATACAAAATCAATTTGGTCAGATGCCTGACGAATAGAGCAAGACGTATCTCTACAGATGACTCCCCATAAAATGAGCTAGGATACATCCAAAATACGCTGGTTCAACCCGACCGAAAGCTGCTACCTTGACGTGGTGGTCGGGCTTGAACACCGCAATGACCTAATCAAGCTATACTGGCTGAGACTTATGTCTCTTGAGGTTCTACCATGCCAGGCAGGTTGTTTGGATAGCGGTTAAACAAAAAGCAGCTACCCAATCCAACATCATGTCCAATACAAAATTACAAAATTTCATGCCGGATCGGCCGTGGCCCGGATTAACAACGACCGCGCTTCCTGCTGCCGTGTCACAGGGCGGGAGTGATAAATCTGCTACTGAGACACACCAAACAAAAAAGAAAGAACAAAAACAGGCCGCGTGTGACCGGCCTCAAGCAGTTGTCCCCTGGGCTCTGCGGTCACGCAACCAACTTCCACGGTGTGGGCAGCCGGGAAGTAACAATCGCCCTCACAATCCGAAATGCACACGAAACCTCTCTATTACTCACTCATCTTTGTCTTCATCTTCATCTCTATCATCTTGCCTTCCTTCCACTGATGCAACTCCTCGACTTGATAGCTCTCCACTTCCTCTCCACTCTGCGTCCACTAAAAACGATGGAAGCCAAAAAACCACCACCGACAGCCTCTTAAAGCCGCGCCACCAATTTCATATAGGAGCTCTTAATGTTAGGACACTTTGCCAAATAGGACAACAAGCATCACTAGCCAAGACCCTGGCATCACGAGCCATTGATGTATGCTGTGTTTCAGAAACACGCATACAAGACCCAAGTGTGGTTATTCACCTAACCCCACCTGGCCAACAGGTTGAATCTGCAAAATTCACCTTGAGGGTGTCAGGAGATGCCACAGCTAGTTCACGAGGATTAGCTGGCGTAGGGATAGCTTTGAGTACTAGGGCAGAAAAGACATTGCTTGACTGGATCCCGGTAGATAGCCGAATGTGTGCTGTCCGCCTGAACGGATCAGTAAGAAGGAGGAAGGACTGCACTACTCGCCGATGCCTTTTCGTAATCTCCGCCTACGCCCCCACTGACTGCAGTTCAGATGAAACGAAGGATGAGTTCTACCAAAAGCTGTCTAGTTTGGTGGAAAGGCTAAACGCTCAGACATAGTCGTTCTAGCTGGTGACTTTAACGCTCAAGTAGGGAAATTGTGTCAATCTGAGAAGGATGTCGGTGGCACCTATGGAGCTCCGTGCCAGCGAACCGACAACGGTGACCGTCTCCTACAGTTCTGCTCTGATAATCATTTGTTTCTTGTAAGCACTAACTTCAAACACAAGGAGAGACACTGTTTGACTTGGAGACCCCCTTCATCAAACCAACGCTGGACACAAATAGACCACATAGCAATAAGCTATCGTTGGCGTGGGTCGGTAGGAGATTGTCGCTCCTTCTGGAACACGTGCGTAGATACCGACCATGCACTGGTCCGCGCTCGGGTGTGCTTACGACTGAACGGACGTAGGAAACAGCTGGCGGTAAAACCATCACGTCCCCAGCTCGATCAGGAAACTAAATCCGTATTTGAGGAAGAACTAGCTAAACACATATCTGTGTTCGACAGCTGTGCTCACCCTGAAGAAGCTTGGAAAAATATCCAGGCAGCCATAGATACAGCTGTAAAAGCTGTGAATAAGGTAAACCCAAAGGTGAGTAAAAACCACTGGATCTCCACCGCCTCATCCGAACTGATAGATGCTAGAAGACTTATTCCGGCGAGCTCCGAATTCAATGAGGAGCGAAAGCTGCACAAGAGGAAACTTACGAAAAGTCTCCGCAAGGACCGTGAACAGTGGTGGGCGACAAAAGCCAAAGAGATGGAGAAAGCTTCGAGGATAGGCAACACCAGGCAACTCTTTGGACTCATCAGGGAAACGGGTGGGAGAAGACAAATCATTAGTGAGACAATCTCGGAAAAAAATGGCACTATAATTAGCTCCAGGATAGACGACTGGATCGTTGGAAAGAGCATTATGAGGAGCAGTTTAATTTGCCCACAGCCACGCTCAACCTTCCGAGCATCCAACACCTCCCTGAATGGGATATAGACACAGGTCCTCCGTCACTAACTGAGGTTACTAAAGCTGTCACCAATCTGAAACTAGGCAAAGCAGCGGGACCTGATGGAATGACTCCAGAGGTATTTAAGTACGGTGGAGACAGCTTACTGTCCGGATTAACTGAGGTACTAGGCAGCGTCTGGGAATCAGAAGAAGTCCCATCGGGTTGGTGTAAGTCACTGATTATCCCCATATACAAGAAGGGAGACAAGTCTTCCTGTGATAATCACAGAGGGATTAGCTTGACTAATATAGTATCTAAAGTCTTAGGCTCAATAATCATGCGTAGACTGAGTGGTGCTCGGGAAGCACAAACACGAGAGAGCCAGGCAGGCTTTAGACCAGGAAGAGGGTGTATTGATCATATCTTCACCCTCCGACAGATTCTAGAACATAGGCATTCCTACCGGCGTCCAACAGTCATTATATTTCTTGACCTAAAGGCAGCATTCGACTCTGTCGATCGGGAAGTTCTCTGGAGATGCTTGGCTGTAAAGGGAATTCCAAGAAAATATATTGCACTGATTAAGGCACTCTATTCGTACTCATACAGCCAGGTGAGGGCTTACGGCGAGCTGTCATCTGAACTGATGACGACCAGTGGTGTCCGTCAAGGATGCCCATTATCTCCTTTTCTATTCAACTTCATCATAGATGTGTTAATGGACTTAACCCTAGGTGACTTCAGCGACTCAGGGATTGACTTGCTACCGGGAATAATCTCGTTGACTTGGAATATGCAGACGATATAGTCCTTCTAGGCGAAGACGCTGACGAAATGCAGAGTCTTCTAAACACCTTGAGCCGCAATCTACGAATGTTTGGCATGCGATTCGCTCCCGCCAAATGCAAGATGATGTTACAGGACTGGACTACATCGACGCCTAGTTTAAAAATAGGAAGTGAAGTGGTAGAGCACGTTGACCGCTTCACTTATTTGGGAAGTACCATCAGCCCCAACGGGCTGATCTCTGACGAAATCTCAGCACGAATACAAGGGGCTCGTTTCGCATTTGTTAGTTTACGCCGACTCTGGCGTAGACGAGATGTTCGACTATCGACCAAAGGGCGGGTGTACTGCTCATCAGTCCGCTCCGTCCTCCTTTATGGTTGTGAGACCTGGCCACTGAGAGTGGAAGACATGAAAAGACTAGCTGTCTTTGATCATAGGTGCCTGCGTTCTATTTCCCGTGTAAAGTGGCATAATAAGGTGAGCAACATGGAGGTTAGGCGTAGAGTTCTAGGTAAACAGGGGAAATCAATCGACGAAGTCGTGAAGCTACAAAGACTGAGATGGTTAGGACATGTGTTACGTATGCCAAGCCATCGCCTCCCTCGACGAGCAATGTTAGCGGATATAGGGTCAGGCTGGAAAAAAGCTAGCGGCGGTCAAACAAAAACTTGGCATCAGTCAATGAAATCCACAACAGTTGGTCTAAGCCACGTAGGAAGGTGTAGACTTCCAGGCTGGGGTCCTCGGGACGGTAAAAATCTATGGTTGGAAACAATTGGTGACATGGCTCAAAATCGTTCTCAGTGGCGCAGATGCATCCACTCCCTGTGACTTATGATCTTCAATGAAACTGTTTTGTATTTCTTTATTACTCCTTTGTCTCACACCTCTGCTCACTGTTTCTATTATGCTTTTCTTGTACTTTCTTCTCTTGCTTCGCGTGCTACACGGAATGTGGCGACTTGAACTTCCGCACATTTGTGCAAAGTTCTATGTCGAAAACAGACAGACAGACAGACGCTGGTCCAAACAGGGTTATCCTAGTAGATTTGTACGGAGACACATCAACACCAGGTACAATAAAGAGAAACTGACAACAGTTAAAAATAAACAACTGTTCATGAAACTGCAATTTAGTGGGGACATGGCTAGCGAAGTCTTACATTTGAGATTATCTCGAGAGCGATAAAATGGACTTATACTGCCGCCACCCTTTGTTTGTCATTTTCCAGCCGACAAATTATGACTGCTCAAGCGAAAAACAAGCTAGGTGCCTAGCTGTGACACTTCTATGTGTATGCATAAATTTAGTTGCTCTTGTGAAGAGAGCTACATAAGGCGAACAAATAGACAGCTTAACAAACGCATTAATGAGCATCTTCCTTCATGGTTCGGAAAAGGTCAAATAAAATCTATAAGAAGTTCTATTTTGGCTCATTTGATTGATAGTGGTCACCAAGTGGACAAGAATGGTGTTTTCAAAGTTATTTACCGCATTCCATCAAGTCTTTCGAACGGAATCATAACCCGTCTTTTACACTTAGCCGAAGCTATGGGAATTAATTCGAGAGAACAATCCTAGTCTTTGTATACAACAAAAGAAGTTTGTTCTACCTTTATCTCTCCCTTGCGTAGCCTAGGTGAATTCTATTCAAAACCCTCCCACCCTTTCATATTTTCCATCTTCGTATTTTTATGATATTTATTTAAAGTCTGATTATCCATTTCACGTTTAGTATTACGTAACTTTTAAGATGTGACCTAATTTATTTATTTATTGAATTGTCTACATATACACACACACATATTACTAACTTTGTTATTCTTATCGCCACTTGCATAAACCTTATTATCAATATTTTGTTATTATTATTAGTATCATTATTTGATCCACAAAATCACCGTCATTGGTTAAAAAGTTTTACATATAAATCTATGTAAATTAGTGTAAAGCCTGATGAAGATCTAATTCAAGATTTCAATCTTCGATAGCAGTTGGTGTTATTTTGACTGGGTGAGGTAGTGGGATTGCTAAACTTGCTTTCAACCTTCCTCTTGGCGTGCTACGGACTAGGCTTAGTTTAACGGGTACGTCGACTGGGTGGGGATTGAACCTAGATCCAATACTTTCTGAGGCTTTTTTTCTGTTTTGTTTATCAAACAGTTTATATTTTCAGTTTATATTCATACCTCATGTTTGGATTATTATTTCATACATTACTTAATAGCAAGTTGTGAATTTCAGTCACCCTTTATTTTTTTCTTATTTTTGTGTTTCCCCTTTTCTTATGATAGATATTGAAGAAATGCTGTTCGTTTTATCTGAAACATGTGTAAGTTATCTTTCAGCATAGAAACCTAATTTGTACTCGTGTATGTGTCTATGTGTTTCCATCAGTAGCATTTCATGAACTGATATCGGTTAGAGAACTATTGGAAAACCAGTCAGGGAGTACTGGACGGTTGTTTCGTCGTAGTTTAGTACTCTTCAGAAGTACGCACCGACCCAGGTTTGAACCCAGAACGTTGTGATTACAAAGTTAGCTCGTAGACCATTAAGTCATCGGAACTTGACCCCAATGGTCTATGAATTCCAAACTCTGCCACTTTGTGACATATGTATTTGACGCAATCGCCGTCAAGGAGCTCCACCAAGTTAGAGAGAATCACCGAAAACTCAAGGGTATTGGATAGGTGTTGTTCGCGCGTAACACACCCAACATCGATTGAGATGGTTAGGAAATCCATAACAGTTATTTTAGACTTCCTGGTTGTGGTCCTCAAGATGTTAAAAACCAATGAAGACTGGAGGCAATTGGTGATATGACTAGCTCAAACTCATTGTTATCAGTGTGGCGCAGATGCACTCACTCCTTTTGATTAATAACAACCAACAACCATAATGTTATCCTCTTGTGCTTCGTATCTCTGTTTATTACATCTATTTTGAATCTGCCTCTACTCTCGTCTCCTGTCTGGTGAGGTATATGGAGAGTGGCAACTCGAACTGCTGCACATCAGTGGGGAAAGTTCTATGTTGAAAGCAGTCGGTCAGATATATCACTAATTCTCAGAAATTGAAATTGATGGGCGCAATCGAATTCTGTCCCAGTAGATGATTAATGTTGTCCTGGATTCGATCGCTAGTGGCGTAATATGTGCGTATTTCTGATGAGTTCAAACCACCGCTCGCCACACTCCCTGACGGTTTTCAGTGATTCTCTAACTGTATCATTTCGTGATTAATTTTGTTATATAACTGTTAATAGTGTTAAAATATGATTTATACGTACGTTTTCTGAAGAAGGTATAGTATACCTACAACCACGGGATGAAAACGAAACGAAGTCGATTTTCCCGCGAAACCTGGAGGACAATTGTACAATTCAATAACTATACAGCCTAGTTCAGACAATGTGTATTTATATATATATCAAATATTTAACTGTTGAAACATTATTAACTTGTAGACAATTTAAGATTTGACATTATATCATCCTTGATCGTGCCTGTAAAAATGGCATGCATTTTCATGTAAATTTATGTTTATATGAAAATAAATTATTATTATTATTATTATTATTATTATTATTATTATACAAAAGTCGTTTCAGATAATATTCTAGAAGTTGGTTTGTAAGGATTAGTTTTATTTTTTTTATGAGTTGATCACAGATTGATATCAGGGAGTCCTGGACAGCTGTTTCATCAGTCTAGTTTGGAAATCATCGACAGTACGCACCCAACACAGTGGGGTTCGAACCCAAGACCTTCCGGTTACAAGGCAAACCAAGCTCGTATACCATTCAGCCACTCATCATCACTGGGACCCGATTCAATGGCCAGTCCATGATTTCTAACTTCTACTAATTCGTGATGCATTTAGAGCTTGACCTCAACCAATGTCGTCAGTGGGACAGCGTACTTACTGATGATTCCCGAACAAGACTACTGAAACAGCTGTCCAGTACTCCCTGATATCAATCTTTGATCAACTCATGAAAATAAAACTAATGCTTACAAACCAACTTCTAGAATAAATTTATTTAATGAGACGTACTCATATGTGGAAGTCAATATGTCTTAGTGATCATACAACAAGGCATCTTCGTTTGGTATACTTTGATCAGTACACCAAATCAAAAAAAAATATATCCAGCATTTGCTTAGTACAAGATAATGCTAAATACTTTAGAAATGTGAAAATCACACGTAAAACCAGATGTGTAAAACTTGGGCACTGTGGTAGTAAGTAAATTCTATATTGGTTTGTTTATTAGATGTATCATTGAATGGAGGATTTCATCATGAGCTGACATCAGTTAGAGAACCACTGGAAAACCAGCACCGGAGTACTGGACAGCTGTTTCGTCCTAGTTTGGGGCACTTCATCAGTATTCATTCAGTTATGCCTGTGGGTGTTGCTAACTGTACTCATACAACCTGCTGTTGCTCATTTCTTAGAGGCGAAAAAGAAATAATTAACTGATACTTTAACTAATGTCAGCTCATGATGAAATCCTCCATGCAATCAAACACAAAATCCATGGAAAACCAATACTTGAAATTTAATGTGATGCTCACTAGTGACTGGAGTTCTGTTTGGAAGCTGTGACCAGTAGTGGGGTACAGCAGATTGAAGATGAGGCAGTAACTCATCGAAGAAGGCATTGCGAAATTATCACGCTATGTCGTGAATTTGCAGAAGTTAGAATTCATGGGCTAGCCATTGAATCGGGTCCCAGTGGCTTAATGGTCTATGAGCTAGCTCGCCTTGTAACCAGAAGGTCCTGGGTTTGAATCCCAGTGAGTGCGTACTGATGAATAGTCCCAAATTAGGACGAAACAGCTGTCCACTACTCCCAGGTTTTCCAGTAGTTCTCTTAATGATGTCAGCTCATGACGAAATCCTTCATGCAATCATACGCAAAATCCCTAGAAAACCAATACATGAATATTAGATGTATCACACTGTGAGTGTAACAGTATTATTTACTGGATGAAACAGTTTTGAACAAAATTTATTGCTGTTCATAATCACATCGTCAATTATAATCACACGTCATCGAAACTTGAGTTTTACAGTTTTCTTTGTTCTCTCCTATTTGTCGTCGTTGGGGTTGTAGAATTTTCCAGATGTCCGTCTGGACAGGTGTTGAATCGTCCCTATTACACGTGTTGCTTTGCAGTTGATTCAATAAACAAAGATTCTGTTATCAATCTCTCCCTCCACCCAGTTGTTACATTAGATTTTAAAACTGTTATCTTATCCCATCCCGTCGTATTGTTGTATGGTTGTGTGTAATTGCATGTAGTGAGTGGTATAGCTGAACTATTCTCTAGATTTCTTATCTTATTAGGGTCAACTAATCTAGATTTCGCAAGGTTTTTATGTTCAGCTAGTCTGACTGCACCTGTTCTACTACTTCGACCTATGTATTTGACCTGACAATCATTTGCAGGTATGGTATTAGATAAACTAAATTGTTTTGTTTTAAAGGCTACACAAGATTGATCTTTTAACCGACAAAGATTGTATCTAATTGAGTTTGTGGGTTTGAATGCCATGCAAGTCAAGTGTGCGCAAGACAACATCAACAATAAGGAATCTAAATCATCAGTAGTAATTCCTTACAAGGAAGGAACCTCGGAAACTTTACGCAAAATTCTTAACACCACTACTACGTCGGTGGCACAGTGGTTAGGACGCTCGCCGACCATGCACATGGTCCGAGGTTCCATCCCCTGGCGACGCACACCTGATGTCTATGGTCGGCCTGCAAATTTTGGGCTACCGATATCCACGCTGAAAATTCCATACTTGTACCAAAAATACAATGTGGAATCAAGCTGTAATAAAAAAAATAAATAAATAAAAAAATAAAATAAAAGTGGCTGGCATTCAAACCCACAAACTCAATTAGAAATAAGCTTTGTTGGTTAAAAGATCACTCCTGTGGAGCCAATTAAACAAAACAATTTAGTTTATCTAATACCCTGCCTGCAATGATTGTCAGGTCAAATACACAGGTCAAAGTAGTAGAACAAGGGCAGTCAGTCAGACTAGCGGTGCGTAAAAGCCTAGCAGCCAAATCTAGATTGGTTGACCCGAATAAGATAAGAAATCTAGAGAAGAGTTGAGCTATACCGGTAATTACAATACAGGTAATTACACACAACCATACAATATGATGGGATAAGATGACAGTTTTAAAGCCTAATGTAATAGCATGGTGGAGGGAGTCATTGATAACGGGAGCTCTGTTTATCGAATCAACTGCAAACCAACATGTGTAATAGGGATGATTCAACACTTGTCCACGCAGATATCTGAAAAATTCTACTACCCCGATAACGACAAATAGGAGAGAACAAAGAAAACTATAAAACTCAAGTTTCGAAGTTGTGTGATTATAATTGATAGAAATGATTATGAACAGTAATAAATTGTGTTCGAAACTGTGTCATCCAGTAAATAATACTGTTTCACTCACTCACTGTGTGATACATCTAATAAACAAACTAATGTGAAAATTTGACGGTTTGAAAATATTCAGTCACTGTTCACATTGGATGAAAGCTTTGGCTTGACACAGGAGGGTGTTACTTAACATTTATGAAGGAGATGCCACTATTTTAAGCTTTATTTCCCTTGAGACGAAGGCTTTTCGGTACATGTTCAGAAAATTAGAGGTGTATGTATGTCCTTATTTCTGTTCTCCCAATATAACTGCTCCTGCAAATACATTTAAATTGACATACATAGTTGGAGTTGTTAACATGAGAAGAAGAGGTTTCTATTGACTTTTGACTGCATCAAAAAGCATGTTGTCCGATAGACGAAGAACCAACGTAGCTGCAGTATGATAGGCTCTGGCTACTGACATACTCGATCTTCTGTTGATCATTGGGTGCAATATTTTCACCCTTAAAATCGATTTGAATGAAGACAGGCATCTAATGCGAAGCCAATGAAATAAACAATGATGGAGTACCATCACCTTATTCTGTACAAATCACACTGTTGTTCTTGCTTTATTCATATAATGTTTCACCCCCTCCCCACGAAACTCCATCTCCACGGTAGTTATGCGGTAATCCTTTAATCTTTTTTATTTATTTATTTATTTGTTTTTCTTGTAGACTAAAAGATGTCGACCATCTCGTCTGAGAGATATACTCGCTTCAAGATCATGTCGTAGTGCTGTTATGATTGGGACTGCATTGGATCATAAGAAAATGAAACGAGTAAGCATACCGATTTAATATTGTGTTGTTCTTCTTGTTATAATATGCTTATATACGTACATGCATACATACAAAATGTCTGATTACACATTTCCTTATTATGTATTCCATCAATTGTTGATATTATTTCTTTTTTTAAGTGGTACTTTGAGGTATAATCGTCACATATTGAAGTCACTTCACTTGAAGTCGCTTCACTTATTTGGGAAGTAACATCGGCCAATGCTGGACTAACATGATATCTAAATTGTCTAGTCTCAATAATCATGCGTAGATATCAGTTGATGCTTGTGAGAAATAAACCTGAGTAAACCAGGTAGATTTTCGACTCCCGGGAAGAGGGTGTATTCATCATATCTTCATCCTTCGACAAATTCTGGAACAAAGGTATACTTACCGGCGTCTAACATTTGCCAATAAAGACTTTTTCTTTTGCTACAAGGGGATTCATCGTGGAGATATATGTCTTTTGATGAAATTCCGTGGATATCCATTTTTGTCGGACGTTCATGAGATATATTTCTTCAATTTTTCCTAAGGTGGGAGTACTACAATGAGTCCTTGGCCTCTCTTGAATAGTGTCTGTATGCAATTCCTTTCTTGTATTATTGTAATGTTGTTGTTGTAATTCAGTATTTGGCCTGTCAATAATGGTCAATCAATAGACACACTGAAATAGACAAAATTTACCAACCGATAAGAAGGAAATCTCATACACAAAGGGTCAAACTTCACGTCAAGGAAACAATCAATAACTATATATAAGTAGCCTGGAGGGTGTTGAAAACACACTGAAAAACAACCAGTCACGAGGTTCAAGGTCATCCAACAGGAGAGATAGTGAACTCGTGGAGAAATCTGAACGCTCACTTCAATTCAAATGAAAGTATGCGCTGGAGATATTGCCTAGTAAGTAGGGCAATAAGAGCTCCGCAAATTGAACTGTCCAGCTAGCTCAGAGAACACGACCACATCCAAAATAATCCACCTGAGCTACAAATCCTCTACTTTATATGTATATATATATATTCCATTTTTGTCCGTTGGATTATAATAACTAGTTCATGGACTTTACGAGTTGATCACGGATTGATATCAGTTAGAGAACCATTGAAAACTAGCACTGGAGTATACTGGACAGTTGTTTCATCAGTCTAGTTTGGGAATCATCGACAGTTCGTACCCATCCCACAGTCGGTTCGAACGGTTACAAGGCTAGTGAGCTCGTATACCATTCAGCCACTCATCACTGGGATCCGATTCAATGGCCAACCCATGAATTCTAACTTCTACCAATTCGTGATGGATTTAGCGCGACCCCAACCAATGTCGTCGGTGGGACACCCATCTTCACATGTGTGCCACATGACATCTGGATGAACCTCATTGGTCATGACAAGAATAAAACAGCTGTCCAGTACTCCTTGTGTGTCTAGTTTTCAATGGTTCTCTAACTGATATCAATCCATGATCGAACTCGTAAAGACATGACTAACCCTTACAAACCAAACTGTAGTTCATGTATATGTTATTTCTTCACATACGTGTAAGTAGTAGTTGTTCCAGGCAGTTCTCTTCTTTATTCTATTATTTATAGATTTTAACAAATATGAGTACAATGGATCATCCTTGGGTAAGTATAGCCAAAAAAAAATAAAATACTTATGCTTTCAAATGATGAACGGAATGTGTATATACGATATAATCAATCTACCTCGATGTATAAAACAAAACTCGTTGTATTTTTATGATTAGTGGTAGGCGTAGATGGAATTCAACCAGTCAATTCTTGAGATATGACGGTGATGGCACACCACCTATCAAATCTCGCCGCACACCCCATATGGGTAAACCACACCAGTCAAGATTTCTAATTTATACTGTGGGGGACATCTATTGTAAATAGAATATTGATTTTATTCACTATTATTCCCTTTGGTTCCGGGTGGAAAATAAAGCCTAACCAGTACAGCACAGCATCATTTCATCCTGTTTTTGCAGTCGTTTTTAGTTTCCTCCACGATTGCCTACAGGGTTTCTTCGCCTCCTCGTTGCCCCCGCATGATTTCCTTCATGTCACCCTCAAAGTGACACCCAACTTGGGCGTGTTTCCCATTCGGATTCCATTCGAAGTTTTGTCAAGCGCGTGGTATCACTCAACAGTCTTCTTAGTGTGTGTGTGTGTCGCTGATTTATCTTCATTCTCTTCAGCACATTTCATTTAACCAGTAGATTCTTGACTAGTTTGTTGCCACAACTCCTTGTTTGCAATCCCCTTCTAGCCGGTTGTTATCTGATCTTCAGTATGGAGCTAGTGAAGTAAGCAGCTGTGGTGATAAAAGTCTGCAGTAGGGGGTGCCTCTTCGAAATGCCTTTAGTCACGCCGCATGCCATGTCTCTCTGAACCAGATAAAAGCGCTGATTATTTAATTAACATTAGTGTTGAAAATTCCGTATCTTGTTCTTTATGCTGGCTTGAGTGCAGCAGATTTATACACTGGCTTCAGATTAATGAAGATCTGTGTCGTTTTTCCTGATCCTGGCCAGCTTTGATATCCTAATCTGTGCCATTTTTGAATTGAATTTTAGATTTTCCCGTCGATTGATTGGACCGAAGTGCTCGGTCTCAGGTTGACATGTCTGTCGGCTTCTTGTGCAGATGCTTCGATGAAGTCTGGGCATGTAATTAGAATCTAATTGGTGGATGGTGACTCGCAGTGGAATTCAGGATAACGCGCATTTCGTCCTATTTGGGACTCGTCATCTGGATGTACTTTTGGGCACTAGGTTCGAGCCTCGGTGGGAACATCATCACTCACTGGGGAATGTAGGTACATCCAGCTGGAGGACGAATCCCAAATTGAACGAAATGGGTGTTATCCTGGATTCCGTCACTTCCAGTCACCATCCACCAATTAATATCTAATAATGTGCCACCTTTACCTGGAAAATAATGCTGCCTAGATAAGTGGAGACTTAAGGGACACTGAGCGTCGTTAGTTCAACGCTAGAGTGTTGACCGACTAAGCATGTGGTCCCGAATTCGATCCCCGTCTGGCGACACACACACACACCTTTACCTCACTTAGCCAGTTGTCATCCTGACAAAGAGGGATGGTTGGGCGTAAAGCTAGCAGCCTCCCACCCCATAAGATAAAATACCAATGCTACGAAAACTTCACAACTCTAGCCTGAAGCCCTATGTTCCACCGGGGAACATAAAGGAATAAAAAAGAAACCACTGAACAATTTTTTCGCTTTAGAAGTTCACAACGTCACGAAAAGGCATTCCAACAGGCCAGTGCAGATTTTTATCAACAGCTGCCACCTTCGCTGACTCCATAATTGAAGATCAAATAACCAGCCGACCAGAAGGAATTAGCAACAAGAAACTCTGGCTTGGAATAAACCAACAAGCAACAGCCGATTGCTCAACAAATATGTAAGAGAAAATGGAGATGAATTGGTTGGGTATACGTTAAGAAAACTGTCGAATGACATCGAGAGCATTTGAGGCCATCGCTCGAGTGAAATCTCAACTGGGAAGAGACGAGTAGGTTGTCGGCGCGAGGGTGACATAGAGGAGATCTTATGGAGGAGGGGGGGATGAGAGATTATGGGTGATCGTGGATCCAGCTGAAGAGGACAGCAGGAAATAGAAAAAGGTGTAGATGTGTTGTTGGAGCCCTATGCTCTCTACCACTGGGAACCCAAAGGAATAACAATATAGATCTACAACTTCAGCCTAGGGGATTGAAGTTTCACTAGCAGTTGTGTTTATTTTTACGGGATGGGCGTTGCTAGCTAGCTTTATACCGAACCTTCCCTCATTACCAGTCTTATTCCTGGTTTACCGAGGTAAAGGAGTGTTTTGGCGGCCAGGGATCGAACCCCGAGCCACATGCGGTGTGGTTGGCGAGCATTCAACCGCTGTGCCACCGACACGCTTGATGAATTATTTGGTATATGTGTAAGTAAGTGACTTCAAGGCAGATACGCCTTGCTGACTTACTGACTGACTGACTGATGAATATTAAAAAACACAAAATCTTGGTCATTTAGGTAGAGGTAGGTAGGTGGGGCTTCCTACCGATCGCCCTTCCAATTACCTAACATCAATCCAGTGTTTATTTCAATTTATTTATTTATGTCAGATCTGAATTTTCTGATTCGATAGCCTTTAAAGTCATCTACAAGGCAAAGAGTAATTTACCCTAATCCCTATGTACCCGACTCATCTGTATTGCTGAAGCCATCTTGGCTATTTAATTTGTATTCTCTTCCTTTATTACAATGTCAATTGTTACTATTACTATTCTCACTTTGAACTGTCCCAGGTATTATTCATTTGTTGCACTTATCATTATTATCATTATCAGTTCTTTTTTACAACGTCAAGGATGCCTATTATCCCCATTTCTATTCAATTTCGTCATAGATGTACTAATGGATTTAACCCTAACTCATTTCAGCGACTCAGGGATTGACTTGCTACCACCAAGGAATAATCTCGTTGACTTAGAATATCCACATGATATATAGTCCTTCTAGGCGAGGACGCTGACAAAATGCAGAGTCTTCTGAACACCTTGAGCTGCAATCTACGAATGTTTGGCATGCGATTCGCTCCCGCCAAATGCAAGATGATGTTACAGGACTGGACTACACTGACTCCTAGATTAGAAATAGGGAGGGAAGTGATAGAGCACGTTGACCACTTCACTTATTTGGATAGTACCATCAACCAGTGCCAACGGGTTGATCTCTGACGATATCTCAGCACGTATACAGAGGACTAGTTTCGCATATGCCAGTTTACGCCGTCTCTGGTGTAGACGTGATATCCGGCTGGCTATTGACCAAAGGGTGGGTGTGCTGCTCATCAGTCCGCTCCGTCCTCCTTTATGACTAGCTGTTAGTGAGACCTGGCCACTGAGAGTGGAAGACATGAAAAGGCTGGCTAGCTGTCTTTGATCATAGGTGCCTGCACTCTATTTCCCGTGTGAAGTGGCATAATAGGTTGAGCAATATTGAGGTTAGGTATCGGTCGAGTGGTAGGTGATTTGAAGGGGGAATCAATCGACGAGGCTGTGAAGCTGCATCGACTGAGATAGTTGTGACATGTGTTACGTATGTCCGCTCAGTCATCGCCTTCCTCAACTGAGGAGCAATGTTAGCTGACATCAGGCTGGAAAACAACTAGCTAGTGGTGGCCAAACCAAAACATGGCTACATCAATCAATGGAATCCAAAACAGTTAGTTTAAGCCAGTCATGTAGGGAAGTATAGACTTCCTAACTGATTGGGGTCCTCGAGACGTTTAAAACCAATGGTTGGAAACAATTGGTGACATGGCTTAAAATCGTTCTCAATGGCTGGTGCAGATGCATCCACTCCCCTTGTGACTTATAATACCCAATGAAGCTATATTGTTCTTCGTTATTACTATTCCTTTGTCTCACACCTCTGTTTACTATCTCTATTTTGAATTTCTTCTAATTTTTTCTCTTGCTTTGTGTGCTACATAGAGGGAGTGTGGCGACTTGAACTGCTACACATCAGTGGAAAGTTCTATGTCGAAAACAGACAAACGTTAAATTCTATGTTGTTAAATTTCACACAATATTACGTCACGTTTTTATTCTTATTCGATTTGTCTACTAATCCTATAATTGCATACACACCCCTACCAAGTTCTATCCATTCTATGAATTGTGTTCTATATATATAACATTGATTGTTTTGCCACTTGACATTATTTATTTAATGTTTTTGTTTTTTTTGTCTTTCAGAATTGTCCACATGGTCGTCCAACTATGCGGCATCTTTTTCATTTAGGTATCTTAGATAAAGAATGACTGGTCAAGTCGTCGTAGATTTCAGATATATAACACTGCACACACACACACACACACACACACACCACCTTCTAGATTCTTCTTAACAAATTTTTACTTTTTCCCAATATTTATTAGACCTTTTTATTGCATAGAGAGATTCTTTTTAAAAAAAACACTTTTAATTTGTCCTTATTTTTTTATCCTTATCATTTTTGAGACTGTAATTTGAAAAAATTCTAAATGTTTGTAGTTATTATATAGAGGAAGATATCGATTTTTTATATACCCCCCTGAGGGTAATTTGCATTTACCCTCCTCGCCACCCACCCACCCCCAATGTCTTCCAGATTTTTCTATACATCTGTAAACTATTCGTCTATTTTTTTATAATCAAAAAAATACATATAATAAACACTAGCAAAATAAAAGTTGACTTATTTGGGGTCTATTTGAAAATGAGGATTCCTGTGGGGGAAGAGTAGTCTGGTATGTTGTGGTGTGGTGTAGCCTTAAGTGCTCACCAGGCTTATGGGGGGGTCTTCTCAATTGACTTGCATCGATATTATCTTGATAAGCTATATGGGGGAGATAGTGTTATGAGGTACATTTGTTTGCGCACTGATATAATCCTGGCTGTGTTTATGCATGGGGAGGTGCTACACCGAATTCTACGTTGGGAAACGACTTACTCAGTATCACTATAATAATCCACCAAAAATAAGTGATGTTACAGGATTTAATCATGAGAACCATTGGAAAACCTGGTAGTACTGGACAGCTGTTTCATCCTAGTTTTGGGCTCTTCATTAGTAGGCACCCACCGGGGTTCGAACCCAGTACCTTCCGGGTACAAGGCCAATGAGCTTGTAGACCATTAAGCCACTGGGACCTCAATCCAATGGCTAGCCCATGAATTCTAACTTTCGCCAATTCACGACCACGAGCTACCCTACTGGTCATGACTTCCCACTAGAACCCCAGGTAACTACCTACCTGAACAGGGCAAGTCGCCAGTGCGTACTGACGAAGAGTACCAAACTAGACTGACAAAACAGCTGTCCAGTACTCCCAGCTGGTTTTCCAATGGTTCTCTAGTGAATGTCAGCTCATGATGAAATCCTGTAACCAATCAACCAAATCCCTACAAATCAACACTTGAATTAATCATGTTAGTTTCGATTTTACCCGAAGGGGACTTTCATCTAATATAGGCTGAAGTAATTCCGTCTCTCTCTCTCTCTCTGAGATTTGAATTCGCATTATTTGGTGCTGAGATATTCAGAAAGTCTACTAGTTGGTTATCCAGATTTCATATTAGTTTCTTTATTAGATGTATCACACAGTGAGTGAAACTGTATTATTTACTGGATGACAAAGTTTCGAACACAATTTATTACTGTTCATAATCATTTCATCAATTATAATCACACAACTTCGAAACTTGAGTTTTATAGTTTTCTTTGTTCTCTCCTATTTGTCGTTATCGGGGTAGTAGAATTTTTCAGATATCTGCGTGGACAAGTGTTGAATCATCCCTATTACACGTGTTGGTTTGCAGTTGATTAGATAAACAAAGCTTTGGTTGTCAATCTCTCCCTCCAACGTGCTAGTCCCGTTAGATTTTAAAACTGTCATCTTATCCCATCCCATCTCATTGTATGATTGTGTGTAATTTCATGTGGTGTAGTGCTAAAGCCGAACTCTTCTCTAGATTTCTTATCTTATTTGGGTCAACCAATCTAGATTTTGCTAGGTTTTTATACGTGGCTAGACTGACTGACTGACTCACTGACCCCGTTCTACTAGATTGACCTGACATGTATTTTTATTTTGATTACAGCTTCTTTCCACACTGTATTTTTGGTACAAGTATGGAATTTTTAGCATGGATATCGGTAGCCCAAATTTCGCAGGTCGACCATAGATATCAGGTCTGCGTCGCCAGGGGATCGAACCTCGGACCATGTGCATAGTCGGCGAGAGTCCTAACCACTGTGCCACCGACGCGCACAGTCATTGGAGGCGGGATTTAGATAAACTAAATTGTTTTGTTTTATTGGCTCCATACGATCGATCCTTTAACCGACGAAGCTAATTTCTTATTGAGTATGTAGGTTTGAATGCCAGCCACTTTTATTCCTGGCTGTCTTGTTAGGAATTCTCCGTAAGGTGGTTTCCGAGGTTCATTCTTTCTGTGGAAGTACTACTGATGATTTGGATTCCTCATTGCTGGTGTTGTCTTGCGCATATTTGACATGCATATCGTCATTAATATTATTATTATCACTATCACTTCTATCATTATTTATTATTTTATTTTCACATTTCCCTACATACTTTCTGACTAATTTATCAGCGTGATTATTAAGTTTCAAGGCTTCTCTTATATGCCTCACTTCCTGTCATACATTTTCTTGGTACTACTTAGCTTTTGTGCTCTATTGTGTGAACATTTCTCCAATCCTATTTTTACTGACATAGGATCGGATGGTCGGAAGTTCGAATATCTGTTTGAATGTGCAGGTGGGTTTCCTGTAAACACACTAGTGGTGTGTGACTTCCCATCTCCTTTTCTTTGTACGCTACAATCTAACATTGGAAGTTCCCCTTCCTGACTTTCTGTCTGTCCTTCCATCTATCTACTTTCTGTCTATTTTGCTTTTCCAATCCTGCCTCTTACATCCTCATCCGTTTCGTCTGTCGTTGAAATGATTCTGCTCAAATAAGTGAAAGGGGTGACCTTCGAACTAAGTGAATAACTACTGTTGCGTGATTGCTGCTGCCTACAAATGGCTATGGCTGTACATGTTCTATGTGCAAGTGGTCGCTTATGAGAGGGTCATTTAGCGCTGACGGTTTGTCGTCCGTCCTCCACCCTTCGACTTCTTGATAGTTCGGCAGTCTCTATGGGATTCAGCAGCTCTTTGTGGAAAACCCCTATGTGTGTGTGTGTGTGTGGACTTCTCATCGATGTAGACAAGTGGTGTGTTGAAATCACCAGCAACCGTTTATTTTTGGTGTTAAATGTCGACGATCCGTAAACTTTTACGATAAGGAACTCTGTATTGTTGATAGTCATTCAATATCAGACTGACTTTGACATTTTGGTCAGTGTTGTATTAACGTCTAAACTTTATCGCACCTCACCGCTTTTTTTACACTGCAAATCGTCCACAGTTCTTTGCGTAACTGGATGGAGGATTTCGTCACCAGTTAGAGAACCACTAGAAGACCAGGTAGGGGAGTACTGGATAGCTATTTCGTCCAAGTTTGGGACTCTTCAACAGTACGCACTCACCGTCAGGAGGCGGACTCACGACCTTCTGGTTAAAAGGCCAGCTTGTATACCATTGAGCCAATGGGACCCGATCCAATGGCCCCAGTGAGTGCGTACTTCTGAAGAGTCCCAAACTAGGCTGAAGAAACAGCTTTCCAGTACTCACAGGTTTTCCAGTGGTTCTCTAACCAATGTCAACTCATGATGAAATCCTCCATGCAATCAAACAAAATCTTTCCATAACTATTTCGTTGTTTTCTGTGTTAGCTGATGATTGACTGTGCGAGATGCGAGCATATGAACTTGATTTCAGTTATCTAACTTATAGGATATCTGATATTTCTGCTAAAGCATTCATTGAGTAGTTTCGCTTACCACATCGTCGTTTTGTGTACTTACTGACTATGGATGACATTGTGTCCAGTTTGAGACAGAAATGTGTATGTTGGTCAGTAATTGGCTTCTGTCTGTCTGTCTGTTTTCGACATAGAACTTTGCACAAATGTGCACCAGTTCAAGTTGTCACACTCCGTATAGAACACAAAGCAAGAGAAGAAAGTACAAGAAAAGCATAATACAGACAGTGAGCAGAGGTGTGAGACAAAGGAGGAGTATTAACGAAGAACAAAACAGTTTCATTGGAGATCATAAGTCACAAGGAGTGGATGCATCTGCGCTAGCCACTAAGAACGATTTTGAATCATGTCACCAATTCTTTCCAACCATAGATTTTTACCGTCCCGAGGACCCCAACCAGTCAGGAAGTCTACACCTTACTACGTGGCTTAGACCAACTGTTGTGGATTTCATTGACTGGTAGCCAAGTTTTGTTTGATCGACAGTAGCCTTCTTCCAGCCTGACCCTATATCCACCAACATTGCTTGTCGAGGACGGCGATGACTAGGCATACGTAACACATGTCCTAACCATCTCAGTCATTGTAACTTCAAGACTTCGTCGATTGATTTCCCCTGTTTACCTAGAACTCGACCGATGCCTAACCTCAATGTTGCTCACCTTATTATGCCACTTCACACGGGAAATAGAGCGCAGGCACCTATGATCAAAGACAGCTAGTCAGCCTTTTCATGTCTTCCACTCTCAGTGGCCAGGTCTCACAGTCATAAAGGAGGACGGAGCGGACTGATGAGCAGTACACCCGCCCTTTGGTCGATAGTCGAATATCTCGTCTACGCCAGAGTTGGCGTAAACTGGCAAATGCGAAACGAGCCCCCTGTATCCGTGCAGAGATTTTGTCAGAGATCAACCCGTTGGGGCTGATGGCTGGTAATTGGCTTCACTTTTTTATGGGTTTGTAGTGTTACTCTGGAGGCATTTGAAAGAGGTTACTTCATTCACTCACTTATCTAGGGAGCATTGTTTCAACTATCGGAACGGAGGAACGGACGAGGATGTCATATCGAGCGAGAATCGGGAAGGCCAGAAACACGTTCACCAACCTGACTGAAAACAATCTGGAAATCTTCGTCACTCAGCCAGAATCAACAACAAAATTCCGTCGGATCTTCAATACAAACATCTTCAAATCAGTCAGTTCTTCTATACGGATCAGATACTTGGCGGGCGGATCACAAAGAATATTTCCAACAGCCTGTTACAGACCTTTATCAACAACTAACTGTCATCGCTCTATACTGAAGATCAGACGACCGGGCTGGAAAGAATCGCCAACAAGAAACTATGGCTGGAAACTAACAAAACAAGAACCAATCGGCAACC